GTGCATTGAACTTCCTTGGCTCAGGGACGGAAAGCTGTGACACAGGGGCAGCAGCAGCACCAAGAGCCAGAGCAGCAGACAGAACAAGTACAACTAAGTGCCTTTGGACAAGAGACTCACTGGCGGAGTGGGGTGCCTACAGGCACTTAAGTGGGGAGCTAGATTTGCTGAAACACAGAGTTAGAGCTGAGTGTCTCTGGACTTACAGTGGATTACAGTGCCCTTTGGACATTTATTGTTGTTGTTATGTGCCGTGGAGTCAGTTCTGACTCATAGTGACCCTATACAGGGTTTCTGAGGTTGTAAATCTTTAAGGGAGCAGAAAGCCTCATCTCTCTCCCACAGAACAGCTGGTAGTTGTGAACTGCTGACCGTGAGATTAGCAGACCGATTCGTAACCACTATGCTACCAGAGCTCCTTAGCATTTCCAAAAGAGCTTTGTAGCATTTCCGGAAGCAAGGCAGAGGCCAGGTCCAGGGACCAAGGGCCAGAGAAATGCCTGCCTGTGGGCGTATTAGAGGTGTTGTCTTAATGAGAAGAACTGTGCCCTGAACACTTCTGGCCCTGAATGTAACCTGTTAACTTCCCTAATAAACCCTATAACTGTGAGTATGGGGTCCGAGTTCTGTGTGGTTACTGCAAGGAATAATCAAACCCAGTGGGAGGGATGGTTGGTGCTGTCTTCAGTGTGTCCTAATGACTTTTAGTAAAGGTTATTTGTAGATGTTCCTGTCCTTAAAGTCTCTACGCTTGTAATTCCAATGTTTTAGAAAAACTAAGTCATCTCCCCATGTTAGACATGTTAATGATCATTTACATTGTTATAGGGACATATATTTTCTGTGCCTGATTTTAGTTAATCTTTTGATTATTTTTGCTCATTTGTTTTCTTCTTCCATCTCTTCCTTCCTTCCAAACTTTCATTCTGTAAATAAAATATTAATCTTCACAAGTTAACATTTATGTCGGTTATCTTCTAAGTTTCTGTATCTAGCTTTTTATCTGTTTTAGGA